AGAATGTGGCATTCTGTGGAACATGGGCACTAAACTGAAGGATAAAATTTATAATTCATGAGAGAACCAGCATGGTGTATTGGTTTGAGTGTTGGGCTATGACTTTGGAGACCAGGGTTCAAATCTTGGCTTGGCCATGTAAACCCACTGGGTGACCTTGAGCAAGTCGCTCTCTCTCAGTCTCAGAGGATGGGACTAACAAACTTCCTCTGAACAAATCTTGCCAAGAAAACCTTGTAATAGGTTCACCTTAGCTGTAAGTTAGAAATAACTTGAAGACACACAAGAACGAAACAAGTACAGACCTCTAGCCAGGAGTTGTTTTTAAGGGGCCATAATAGTACAAGTTGATTCAAAATGAATAGTACAAAACCAAATAAGAACATCTTTGCTTTTTGCACCATTTTTTAAAATCACCATAGGAGGAAATTGGATCACTGATTAAAAACCAGAACCCAGATACAAGTAACCCAATAGGTTTAGAAATATATAATATTAGTGAAAATATAATTACAAAAATAGATAATTCTAAAATGTTTAAAAAATGTATAAGAGTGCCTAGTATATTATACCTTTTAGTCTTTTTGGTTCTCACATTTCCAACACTGGGAGTAGTTTTTACTGTTTACTGACCACCCAGGTACAAAAATTGCCCACATGTTCCATGCTTATTTCTCTAGAAATAGAAGAACTGGTTAGACATCTGGGGTGAACAAGAGTATTATTCAGGTATTTAGAAAAGGTATTTTGCATTTTTTATTTATTTAATTTTGAGTAATCCTATGAAATGTATGGGTCACCATACAGCAACAGATGACATGAAGGCACATTTATACCTTACCTTTCACCAAAAGGCTCACAGGGCACCTTGTTCTGTGCCTTCAAGTGGTTTCTAATTCATGGAGACCCTATCATTTTTTATTATTTTTTTTGGGGGGGGGGCAAGATTTGTTCAGACGAGGTTTGCCATTGCCTTCCCCTGGGGCTAAGAGAGTGTGACTTGCCCAAGGTCACCCAGTGGGTTTCATGACCAAGCTGGGAATCAAACCCTGGTCTCCAGAGTCATAATCCAACACTCAATCCACTGCACCACACTGACTCTCATATTTAATTTGATATTTTGTTGTCCTTAAGCTTAGAATCTAAATAATACATTTATAAGATGCACAAGGAAAAGGGGATGGCAGATGTTGGCTCTTTTTTTCTTTCTGAATTTTATTTTGAAAAGGCCAGAAATGGAGGGAGGGCCTCTTGCCAGCTGCTGGGCCAAGGAATGATGGAGCTATGCCTGGTGGCTCCTCTCTTCTACAGAGGCCAGGGGAGTGGCAGTAAGAATGGAGAGATGGTGAAGGGAGCTGACAGAGGAACAGAAGACTGAACTCTGTAGAGTGTCACCATCAGCCCTTCAAGGACAAGGAGAAGAACCTTCCCTCACCTGGACTGGGCCAAGAGCTGTTCTTGTTCTGTAGCTAGGTTTGTGAGTTGTGAGCCAAAAGCACCAAGTTCTACCTCACGTTTGTCGAGGGTTGCCATATTCCAGTCCCTCTTATATAGGCATCTAGTTTGCATATTGTGCTATTAGAATTATGCATATTTTAATTTGCATTCTGATTATGCAAATTCAACACATTAATCATGGCACTTTTTCTACCTTATGTTTCAACCTCAGTACTGGTATCAAGCTAAGAGCCGGTGTGAAGAGAACGGGGCTTCTAAGTAGTGTTAGAGAGTAAAGAGACTCCTTTTACTCTCTCCAGGCTGTTTGGAAGGGAAGTTCCACCATGTTGCCTAGTTCTAGGCTCAAGCCACCAACACAATCACCACACAACACAAGGCCATCTCTATTCACCTCCTTTCCTTCTGGATCTGTTGGGGAAAACGGGGAGGGAATTAAAGAATAAGATAGCAATGCTACTCTTGTGCAGTAGCAACTGGATTCTGCAGGGCAGGATGAAGCTTCCACCAGTGCCAGTCTTCTTGTACAGTTTCCTTCTTCATCACCACTGTCACATTTAGCTTACCCATTGACCTGCTACAAAGGAGAAATCCAGGATTTACTGCTTTAACTGGCTCAAGACTTTTTTAGTCCTTTCAATCTGGGATTTTCCAGGTTTTCCGGGACTAATGGCAACTCTTACTTTCACCACAAACTTACTATATGACTTTAGGGAAGTTCTGCCCTTATTGTAGACATGGGGACTTTCAAGACAAAGCTTTCAGTGTGAAATCTCCTCACATCAATCATGGAGTATTACTGTCAGTTAAGATGATGTCATCTTCTTTCTGTAACCTATGCTGGGAGTTTCCCACTCCTCCTTCCATGCTTTCCTTCTTAACACAAAAATCCATCAAGGAGGGAAAGACAGAAAAGCTGCAGTGCCTTTTGGTGGCTGGGTAGGAGCTATCCAGTTGGAAGCATAATTTGAGCTACCTTAGGTTCCACATGGGGGAAAAAGTGTATGTATGTATGTATGTATGTATGCAGCCTTAATATTAGTTTTATACTGTTTTATCTGACAGGACTTTAGGTGAGATGCTGAAAATTGTTTATTAAAAACTGCAAGTGGCTTTATTGAATTACAATCCCAGGATATGAGAAAAGGTAGTCAGACATATTGTGGTTGTGCTCAAACTTCATGTAATGCCTGCTTTGAAAAAGGAAAAAGTTCTACAAAAATGTTACCTTTATTATTCATTAGTATTTAGTGTTGTAAATTAGACATAATTTTAACCAATAAAGCCACATTCTGGCAGGCAACACAATATTGTGGGAGAAGGTGGTTAAAAAGCCATTGACCATAAGAGCCATGTTGTCACCTGCATATCCCTACACCAGAACTCCATCCAAGATCCACCTTGGCCTCAGGTAGTTATGAATCAAAAGCCAGCTACCCCATGAAGAGTTGAGATGGTTCACAGTTAGCTTCTGGTATTTGCATTTGGGTGACTTATAACAACTCCGCTATTTTTATTTGACAGAGGCAGTGTGGCATAGTGGTTTAAGCATTAAACTACAGTTCTGGAGACCAGGGTTCAAATCACTGCTCAGAGGCCCACTGGAAAAGTCACAGTCTCTCAGCCTCAGAGGAAAGCAAAGACAACTTCCCCCCAACAAATCTTGCCAAGAAAACTCAATGAAAGGGTTGAACACCTTCCTCTTTGATTTGTCAGATAAGTTGCTGAGTGTGCCTAAGGTGGCTATGGGTTTTGATAAGGATTTTGTTTTTAATATATTAGTGTAGTATTTTAGCGTTTTATAGTGCTGTGTTTTATTGTCCATTTTTGATTATATATGTCTGATGTCCTGCCTTTTGGTGAAAACTACATTATAAATAAACATCATTATAGGCTCACCTAAGGGTTGCCATGAGTCAGAAATGACTTGACCGCACACAACAGTAACAATAATTTTTAATTAGCTTCCCAGAGAATTTTATTTTATTTATATACTTCCTTCCTTTCAACATGTGATACAAGGCAGGTTTTTTTGTTGTTAACTGCCCTCGAATCAATCTCGACTCATGGCGACCTTATGGATGAACATCTCCAAGACTCTCTGTCCTCCACTGCTCTGCTTAATTCCTGCA